ATAAAATTAGATCTAGATATTTTTTTTGCATTTTGATCAGTTACACAGAATTGCGTAGGACCATATTAAATACTCTATCCATAAAATTAACCCAATAATTAATTAGATGTAATAAATCTATAATTAAATATTGTTATATATAGTTATATATAATTATACATAATTACATATAATTAGATATGATTATATTTGGCCATTTTTCATATATAATCATATATAACCAATTTATATATAAATATATATAATTATATATAAATATTTTTTCTCGGGGTGAGCAAGATTTTAAGATTAATAAAAAGATAATGAATGTAAAATTAATTTTTTTGCCCTTGTGACACTTCATAAAATTTAAATATGTCATTATTTGCCTCCTATCCCTCAAAAGTTAAACTTATGGAGCGATAATAATAAAAAATATTGTATGTCATTCGGCCGTTTAGTGGCAATTTTGACAACGACTTTTTTTCGATATTCGCTTTAATGTTTGTGACGCGAATGTTCGAAAACGAGCGTAAATTTCCGTCCTCGGCTACGCCTCGGACGTTAAAATTGCGCCTGTTTTGGACCTTCCCGCCACAAACCTTAAGCTCATATCGAAATATCGTCGCTGTCAGAAAACCGCCACTTCACGGCCTTATGACATAAATATCTATTTAGTTTTAAATTGAATTTACACATAATTTACGCAATTTTCTACCGAAAACGATTTTATATTCTTAAAGTAGAGTCTTTGACCTTTACAAAACTCTAAGACAAAGTATGATTATCTCTACAAAAAGACTAGTGACAGCCATTTAAAAATGACTAAATTTCGAAATTTAAAGAAATAGTTGGTAATTGGGTCATTCATTCCATGTCAAATTGACAAATAGTTGGAATCGATCTCTTTCGATTTGGACAAATTTTTATCAGAAGTTTTCGTTTATCATAAAACGAAGTTCTGCCAACATTAGAATTGTATCTAATTAGACAAAATTGTATAAAATTTTATGTGATTTGCCTTCACAACTTTATAAAATTTTATGAAATTGTATAAAATTATATATATGGGTCATTCCACCAAATAAGAACATTTTTACGGGGCGACCCTCGCGGATTATGTTCAAAATTTATGGAGGTGTTCTCTATAATAGGAAATAAATTCCCTACAAGTTTTCAGCCCTTAATATGCAGTGGTTCTGGAGTTATGACTTTTTGAAATTTTGAAAAAAATTTTTTCAACTTTTTCATCAATTTTTCTGATGAGGAAAACTTTTTTTATTAAAATCCACGAAAAATCTTATCTTGTGGGAAAAATTCTCAGCTTTTGAATGAAAATATCCATTTTATCATAAATACATCAGAAGACCCTTTAAAATCCAATTAAAGTGGAAAAATTGATTTTTCTCGGTGTGCGGGGCAAGGTACATTCAATTTGACTTCTTTTTCTGAAAGAGTTTTTTACACGAAATTTATGGTTTTTACGATGTGCATATTTTTTGTTCAATTACAATTAAATTATACGTTATATCCGCTAAGTGTTATACGATTATTCGGGATAGTAAAATAATTTTCTGTTGAATATTTAAAATTTCAGATTGCTCGTTAAAAAATTAAGTTTATACGATGCAGATGGCACTCACAACTACGATTCCATTTTTTTATTTAGGATGTAACTTTCCAAAATTTGGGAGAAATACTGATTGGATTATGGAAACTCAACCATTTATAAAAATTCATTGAATAAATTGGTTTGTAATAATGCAACGGAATCGTGCTTCTTCAGAAGTTGTAATAGATGTCCAAACAATGAAGAAATCATTAATTACTTTCATGCATCGTTTAAAGAATCTGATGTAAATAAAATCGGATTTGAAATGTGGACATCAACCGATCGATGTACCGTTGTAAACGTTATTTCAGATTCCGATGACTTTATTGATACCTTAGCGACGCAACTTGAGAAACTTTTAAAACATGATTTTATGCGAAATTATTAAGCTGTCCAAGGCTATCATTGGAATTATGACCAAGCTACTATATTTCCAATGGCGGTTTACTAAAACGAAAATGAAACTATTAAGCATTTTAGCTTAGTTGATATCTCAGATTGCTTTAAACATGACATAGTTTTGATTTATTTATTTCAAGAACAATTGATTTCTTTTTTAAGAGCAAAATTTGCTGTTATTGAAAGGATTTTTTACTTCTCAGATGGAGCACCTCAGCACCCCCACGGAAAAAGTATATATTCTAGTATATATTCTGGAATATATTCTGAAATATATTCTAAAATATATTCGAGAATATATTCTAAATATATTCCGGATATACCCCTTTTTGCCCAAGGAATATATTTCAAAATTATATATACCTGAATATATTCAGTATATATACGATGGATCAGACTATAGATCTGACAACAGACCAGACTATAGACCAGAGAAAAATTTTGAGTAAAACGGAATACAAGTGAGTGCATGCCCATATATTCCGGAATATATTCCTCGGGCAAAACGGGGTATATTCGGAATATATTCTCAGATATATTCTGGAATATATTTCAGAATATATTCCAGAATATATACTTTTTCCGTGGGGGCAATTTAAAAATAAAAAACATTTACTAATTTATATTCATTATGCTGACTTTAGAATCATCGCTGAGTGGCATTTTTTTGCGACTGCTCATGGCGAAGAACCATGCGACGGGCTAGCAGGTTCAGCAAAATGACATTCTGCTAGAGCTTTATTACAAATGGAAAATAAAAAACATATGCTGACACCACAAGATTTGCATTCCTGGGCAATCAAGAATTTTACAGGCGTTGATTTTATTTTAATTGGATTTTAAAGGGTCATCTGATGAGTTTATGATAAAATGGATATTTTCATTCAAAAGCTGAGAATTTTTCCCACAAGATAAGATTTTTTGTGGATTTTAATAAAAAAGTTTTCCTCATATATTCTTATAGCGGTGACGTAATTGCCATCTGGAGTTAAAAAATTTAACTACTCAAACCAGGTTTTGGAAATAGGCCTTTTTACACGGTGCCATTTACTAATAGAGAACAACTCCATAAATTTTAAACACAATCCGCGAGGGTCGCCCCGTAAAAATGTTCTTATTTGGTGGAATGACCCATATATACTTCTATATAATTATATATGAATCATATATGATTCTATAAAGTTTTTTTTACTCGGTCATGCCTTTATATGAGTATATCAGACTACTTATGTACTGATAAGGGTATGAGTATATCAGACTATATGAACCCATATCAAGTTATGTCAACCCTGATCAAGGATTTTTTTTTCAAGTTTATCAAAGTACACTTCTCACAAAAATTAAGGAAGCAAGGAAAAAATCCAAATTTTTGGGGGATTTTCAACAGGCTGTAACTTATACATAAAAGGTCGTACTGCAAAAAAAAGCAAATTGTAGCTCTAAGTGTGTAGTTTTTGGATCTGAGTTTGAAAATTTTTTTTTTTAATTTTTTTTCGAGTAATCTTAAGAAAACCACCGAAAAAAAAAATTTCTAAATTTTTTTGTTTTTATTTTTAATCTACGGACCTCGGAAACAATTTTTTTGACTTTACCTTCATATGGGCTGGATAACTTGTTTATTCAGCTTTAATTTGATTTCTTAAGAATTTCAATAAGAGCATTTCTCGCTGAGATATCGGTGTATGAATGGAAAAAGATCATTTTGTTTTTGATTACCAATATCTCAGCAACCAATGATCGCACAGAAATTTCAAGGTTGGTTTTAAAAACTTTAATAAATTCTCTACAAGAATTGGCTATTGATTTTTGAAAAAAAATTTTATTTCAATCATTACATGAATTTGAAAAAGCAACCAAAAATGGCTTTTTGGAAAATCAAGCGCCCAATCAAAAATATTGCGGAAACCACTAATGTTAAGTGTGCCTTTTACTGTTCAATATACCCACAAAAACCCTACGAAGTTTCAATTTAATTCAGCCAACCGTTTTTTTTCCCACTTGATTGAATTTTTGAAAAAATTAAAGGAACAAGAATTCGCCCTGAAAAGGTCATAATTTTTATTGAAATGAAAAAAAATTTTTTTTTCATTTTTGTTTTAAATCTGTATTAGTGACTTTGTAAACTTGCAAAAGAGAAAAAAATAAAAAAAAAGAGAATTTTTCAAAAAGTTTTTCAAAAATTTGTTAATTTTTTTTTGAAGACACCCTTCAGGTTCTAGGTCAAAAAATCCCAGAAAATATATCCCAAGAAAAAAAAATCCATACAAAAATAACCCAATCAAAATAATCTCAAGACAAATATATCCCCCACACATCAATTTCCCTTGATGAAATATCCCACAACATAAATATCCTAAACATCTCAATATCATAAGATTATTAAAGTAACTTAATATTTCTTAAAGATTATTAAAATACTACACTTATCATGGGTGTTGTGTGTTTTTATTCGATATTAGACCGTTTATTTGATTTTAGATATTTTTGTTGAAGGGATAATTCTGCCATGGGAGATTTTTGTTTTGGAATACTTTGTCATGGGATATCTTTTCGATGTGATATATTTACTGGGATATTGTTTACTGGGATATTATTTACTAGGATTTCATGACCAGACATCCTTCAAATTGTATTAATAACATAGCGGATTGTTATTAGAAAAGCAGATTATGCATAGTAAAGTGGTTACGCGCAACAAGTACCGGTAGCCACGAGGTCTGAGACCCAGAACTGTAAAAAGCGATGATTTTAGTGAAACAGCCACGATTAATCTCAAACAAATTTAAACAAAACAACATGGCGGATTAAAGTTGATTAGTTAAATAACGCTCACAAGTGGAGGTTATCAACACAACAAATATAAAAATTCAATAATGGTGACGCGTATAGACTCAAAGCGTTGAAACAATAATGATAATAGTAAAGCGTCTTTTTTTTGGTCAGTTTCTTAAAAAGATTGACTGCGCATGTCCGTGGAACGAAGCAGCCAATCAGATAATTCGTTCTATCGATGTCGAAACCGATAGCCAATAGTAAAACTCGTTACAACTGGTGTTCTCGTGACGTCAGAGTAACTGGGTTTTCACAAGCGTCAGAAAATTTAAACGTTGAATTTTTCTGATTGGCTAAGAATAACGGGAACGAGCGGTTGTCAGGTGCGGCTCATGGCTTTTTTGGAGCACACCAGCGGCGTGTGATAAGCGAGTGGTCATGTTCGATGAACACAGCGTAAAACCAATAAACTTCCCAATTTTTGAAAATTTTCAAGTTTCTTAGCGGAAAGTTAAGTATATTATCTCTAATTAATCACCATTTACTACTGATTACAGGATAACAGGCTACAAAGCGGTGACCATATCCTTCAAATAGGAGATGTTAATTTACGAGGGATGGGAAGTGAGCAAGTTGCAACCGTATTACGACAATCAGGGACACACGTCCGGCTAGTAGTTGCTCGACCTATTGAGCCTACCTCTCCAGATTATCAGGTTTTTAAATATTTTGTATTCATGAAAGATTATTTCGGAACTTTTCAGTCAATAGAAGTCATGAAAACTAGTTAAAAAAGTTAGGAAAACGGTTGACCCTAAAGACCATTCCTGCAACTTCCCGCTAATTTCATACTTAAGCGCTCAAAATTTAACTTATTACGTTTCTGAGCTCTTCGAGCTGAAAAATATATTTTTCGCACTATTTTGAGCTTTCCGAGTTCAAAAGTCTGATTAAAGTTTAATCAAACACGATTTTATGAATTTTCAAACCCTAACAACTTTTGAATGAATAAACCCATTTTCGCGCGGTTAGTGGCATTCAACGCAGTTTGTTTAGCCTCACAAATAATCTCTAAGATTAGATTGAAAAACACTATGAAGGACAACTCAAATTTTCGATTTTTTCCAATAAAAAAATTGTTGGTCCCATTGACCGAGTAATTGACGAGAATTTATATTCTCTATTAGAAGAAAAATCCATCCTTCACAGTGCGGCTCTCATTTTGAGGCAAAAAATTTTTGAGATTGAAAAACAAGCACTACCAGAAGAAATAAAGACGGAAGATTTGTTGAAAGGAGAATGCAACATCCCGGAAACCGTGAAAGATTTTTATCTTACAGTTTTAGCTGGTTCCCACAGTAAACGAAGAAAAAGTTTCGATAGTTATAGACTAAGTAACTCACTAGCTGCTGACTTGGTTTATAATGTATCGAAAGGTAAAATGAAGACCAATAAACACATAACCTTAGGGATGACCTTGAAAAGTTTAATCAGCAGTCGAAAAATTGTAGAAATTATCAATCGATATGGCCACTGCTGCAGTTATTACGTCGTTGAAGAGCTTGAAACTGAAGCTACGTTTTCATCTTCTACTCGATCTGAATTATGTCCTGATGGTATTAAAAAATCGAGTGGATTGAATACAGGTGTAGCATTTGACAATTTTGACCGCTTCGTAGATACTGCTTCTGGTAAAGACACATTACACGACACGGTGGGAATTATTTATCAGGATATCGTTGATAATTCTACAGCTGTGCATAGAAACACAGCAGATGATACTGAAGAAAGTATGATTATTATCGATCTTGAAGATGATGCTGATGGTGTTATTGACCACGAAGATGGAGCTTATAATTAAATATTTTTGTTTTGAACGCAGAGCTGAAAACACGTGGTTTCTTAATAGCCAATCACAGCGCGAGGAGCTCGGGCCCCGGCAGCTGCCAGCATGCCTCGACTAGCTATCTTTGTCGCACTTACGGGAGCGCGTAAGACTTTTTATTGCGCTTATTTACAAATTTTATTAACGTCTGGTAATTGTTTATAACCCGCAAAAACGTCTGGCTATTTGCAGGTATTATTGAAATTACTTAATAAATACGTGATATAAATTTCAGATTGCCTAAAGAATATTTTTTGGTAATTTAAAAAAAATAACTTTAAGGTCGTCTGGCAATACTAAATAACTGACAAAAACGTCTGGGATTTTTGTTTTTCTATTCTAGAAATAGTAATTTGAAAGACAAAAAAAAATTCAAAATGCCAAAAAATATATTTTTTTGAATTTTTTTTTTGCAAATGTTATATGCTGCGCAGTAGCAAAATAACCGCTAATTCGCTAAAAGACTTTCAGGACCGGATTCGCCAATTGACAAAGTTGTAATTTTTTGCAATTTCAGCTTGCCTAAAGAACCTTCTCAAAATTCGTCATGAGCTCTCCGACTATTATAAACAGTCTGTAAACTTACTAGAGTTTATTGTAATATGAATGTTAAGTTATATAAGATGTCACTCAAAATAATTTATTAAAAAGTGTACTATTTAAAAAAATGTCACTATTTTATTAAGAAAATTAAAAAAATAACTTTTTTGTTATACTCGCTCCAGAAGTTCAACTTCTGAGCACTGGGTGGCGTCCGTAAAGGGACTCTTTTCTAAAGACTCTACCATACCGTCTTTTTTTCAAGGCCTAGGCCGTGAAGTTTTACCCCCTCCTTTTTTTTACGAACTTTTCATGTACACTCAGACAAAATTGAGAGACATTGTAAAAAAAAAAGTCACATTCTAGCGTACTGACTGATAATTTTTAGTCTTAGTTACTATTGAGTGGCGCTTATTATTTGTCTGTTGGCAGTTTATTACGAAGCGGACCTACTGTTAATAAAATAACAACAACGCCATAAATAAATACTAATAAAAAATTATTTACATTTTCTGGACGTGAGTAAGATTTTAAGATTAATAAAAAGATAATTAATATAAAATTAATTTTTTTTGGCTTTGTGAAACTTCCTAAAATTTAAATATGTCATTATTTGCCTCCTATCCCTCAAAAGTTAAACTTATGGAGCGATAATAATAAAAAATATTGTATGTCATTCGGCCGTTTAGTGGCGATTTTGACAACGACTTTTTTTCGATATTCGCTTTAATGTTTGTGACGCGAATGTTTGAAAACGAGCGTAAATTTCCATCCTCGGCTACGCCTCGGACGTTAAAATTACGCCCGTTTCGAACCTTCCCGCCACAAACCTTAAGCTCATATCGAAATATCGTCGCTGTCAGAAAACCGCCACTTCACGGCTATATGACATAAATATCTATTAAGTATTTATAATGTTAATAAAATTAAATCTCCTTCTTAGACTTGAAAACTACAAATGACTGAATAGATTAAAAAAAAATTTGTTTAATTATTATTATTATTTCTTCAAGAACAATATAATACAAATATTAAGTCATATAAAATGTAACTAAAAATAATTCAGTAAAAAGTGTACTATTTAAAAAAAAGTCACTATTTTTTTTTTAGATTTAAAAAAAAAATTCTTAAGCTTTTATAATTTAAATAAAATAACAAATAAATCTTCTTTTTAGTAAATTTGTAATTTGTAAATTTCATTCTTTATCATCCTTTTTCATTCCTTAATGACTCTATCATTAAACTTATTCCATTAATAAATAATTAAAATAATTAAAAAAAAAGAAAATATTGAACGCAAAATAGCGAAAAGTTCCATTTGCTTGTTCATGTTCAAGGTACGATATATATTATATGAAATCTGATTTATATATGTGCCTGATAATTTGTTTATACAATATGAGAATTTAAAAAATCTGAGAATTCAAAAAAAGTCAATTTAAATAAATTACTTTTTTTTTTATTTCAGCATCACGTTTAAATTCGAAGTTTTAGATAGATAAATGTATAATGATTGAAATTTTTTTTCAATCGCTATATTTTTTTCAATTGCTATATTTTTTTTCTTTTGAATTTGAATTTTTGTTATTATTTTCTATTCAAGTCCGATCTGGCTGTCCGGTGTCGCGCGGGTGACCAATCAGAAAGTCACGCAGTTTATTGAAATCTAAATGCGCGCTAAGCTACTGAGTCCCAAAGACATGCGCAATAGGCTCCTTCAACGCTCTGTCTCTTGTCATGATTTTTGAAGTTATACTTCTTTTGGCGCGTTAGGCAAAAATGATGAAGGTAAATTTTTACGATGCGCACGCGCACACCGTCACGAAAAACCAACATGATGAAGTTAGCTATAGTCAAAATTTTAGTTTTTCAAAAAAAGGTACCAACAAAGTAAAAGTAAGGACATCTACGTATAGTATGTTTGCATGAGAACTGACAACTGTATTAACAATATTTATTTATTTAAGTGTTTCTGAACCTACCACAAGTGTTTTGTATCACCCGGGAAAAAATGATCAGACCTGATCAGACATGATCAGGCATGAGTCTTCAGGTCTGATCAGACCTGAAAAATGACCGGGTCTGATCAGACCTGATCAGGCCTGATCATGCATGAACAGGCATGAGCGTTCAGGTCTGATCAGGCCTGACCAGACCGGGTTTGAAAAAAAAAAATTGTCAATGACAGGAATCGAACCGTGGACCTCTTGCATGTGAACCTGACTTTCTACTCGTT